CTGCCATGACAAGAACCATCATGCCCGAGGAGATGGTCCAGGCCTTCAAGCCCGACTACATTGCGCCCGTTGTCCTCGCCCTCTCCAGCGACAAGGTCCCCAAGAACCCTACCGGCGGCCTGTACGAAGTTGGCAGCGGTTGGGTCGGCCAGACCCGCTGGCAGAGAACCGGCGGCCACGGCTTCCCCGTCGACGTCCCCTTGACTCCCGAGGAGGTTCTCAAGCACTGGGACGCCATCAGAAACTTCGAGGACGGTCGCGCCGACCACCCCGAGAAGACCCAGGATGGCCTTCAGAGCATCATGGCAAACATGGAGAACAAGAGCAACAAGTCCAAGGTATGAAGACTTCTTCGGCAGCGCAATCCTGTAAAGTAGCAATAGCATCAAAAATAAGAACAATGTTGATCAAGTCTCCTTACAGTCAGAGGCAAGCTCCGGAGGTGACAGCAAGTACCTCGACGCCATCAAGGCCGCGCAGAACGCCGAGAGCAAGGGAACCGAGTTCCAGTACGAGGAGCGCGACGTGATGCTCTACAACCTGGGCATCGGCGCCAAGCGCGACCAGCTCAAGTACGTCTTTGAGGGTGCCGACGACTTCCAGGTGGTGCCAACCTTCGGCGTCATCCCGCCCTTCAACACGGAGCTGCCGTATAACTTTGATGACATTGTCCCCAACTTCTCCCCCATGATGCTTTTGCACGGCGAGCAGTACCTCGAGATCAAGAAGTACCCCATCCCCACCGCCGCCAAGCTCGTGTCCACCGGCAAGCTCCTCGAGGTCGTTGACAAGGGCAACGCCGCCATTGTCAAGAGCGGCATCACCACGGTCCATGCCGAGACCAAGGAGCCCGTCTTCTACAACGAGATGACTGTGTTCCTCCGAGGCTGCGGCGGATTCGGCGGCCAGAAGAAGCCCGCGGACCGTGGCGCCAGCACGGCGGCCAACAAGCCTCCTTCCCGCCACCCCGACGTCGTTGTCGAGGAGAAGACGACCGAGGAGCAGGCGGCGCTGTACCGTCTGAGCGGTGATTACAAGTGAGTTGAAGTTACTTCCTAAGTATTAAGATTGTTGACTGACGTTTGACAGCCCCCTCCACGTCGACCCTGCCTTTGCCAAGATGGGCGGCTTCAAGGCCCCCATCCTCCACGGCCTCTGCTTCTTCGGCGTCGCCGGCAAGGCCGTGTACGAGCGCTTCGGCCCCGTCAAGAACATCAAGGTGCGCTTCGCCGGCACCGTCATCCCCGGGCAGACGCTCGTGACGGAGATGTGGAAGGACGGCGGCAAGGTCATTTTCCAGACAAAGGTCAAGGAGACGGGCAAGCTGGCCATTGGCGGCGCTGCGGCGGAGCTGGTTGACGACAAGAGCAAGCTCTAAACTATTGCGTGAGAAGACTACACCGGACATGTTTTTTTCTAGTTTGTATGAGTACATGGCTCTCTCGGTATGATTCATGAGATTTTTCAAATCAAGTTCAGGAATAAGGCAGGTTATGAACTTTAAAGTTGAATGTATTTACCAATTACAAAAGGTTACTTTGTTGTAGATGAGCGCCGCGAGACGACAGCCCTCATTTACTCTACCCTCATGATGTGAGGTTGTTCCCGTTTCTCGACCATCCCGCAAGCCCTGAACGCCCCAGAAATGCCCATATACTGGTATACTCATGACCTTATCAAACTCCGAGGCTCTTGTCTTTCTTTCTCTCGTGTTTCCCAACATGCCGCATCATGCCGCTCTACAAAGCACACATGTACTCGGAGCGTGCTTCACACAAAAATGGTCTCAACCACAAAGTCGCAGAGCTCTGGCAAGGTCGGCAATTGACCGTTCTTGAGGCGGTTCTCGACCGGCGAGACCCCGTTCCTGGCGAAACCCGTCTCCAAAAAGGCCTTTTCGGCCCCATTCAGCTCGCGCTTCTCCGTCTCGCGCCACTTGGTCTCGGCCTCTTCCTTGGCCAGCCTCAGCACCGAGTCGGTGTCCTCGCTCTCCCAGAGATTGCACCTCGAGCACTCGGTGCAGGGCCGCGGGTCACCGTCCGGCCTAAAGTGGTCGCAAAAGTGCCTGTACCCTTCGCCGTCGCCGTTGGTACCGCCAATGTCCTTGCGGCAGACGTAGCACATCTTGTAGCCACAAGGACAGGTGAGCTTGTTGCAGCCCGAGTTCTTGACGAATGACGTATGGCATCGCGGGCAGACGCGTTTGATGGCCATGCTCATCGCCTGCTCAACCTGAGTACGCAACGCCACCAGAGACGACTCGTTGCATACGTGAATGTCCTTCCAGGCCTTGGCACAGGATAGACACGAGCTTTTTCCGCAATCGGGGTTTTGACATGCAAATTTGAGTCCACGACGTCGTCGGCGATGGCGGCCCAGAGCCAGGTGCCACTGTGCGACCAGGCGGTCGCCAACCGTCTGCTTCGTGCTGACGAGAAGACAGAGAAAGGAGGATAACAAGACCACAGGGAGGAGGAACGGAACCGTTGCGATGCAGACGAGTAATAGCGCAAGACTGAGTAAACTGTCAAGTCTGATTCGAAGTTGCGTTTCTTGCGCTGGGAGGTAGATGTCATCCACTTCTGCATAGTCGCAAAAGGGGCAACGAATAAGGGGCATGTTAGAAGTCAGGAGACTGTTTTCTGCCAAACGCTGGTCGAGTTTACGGAGAATCTCGGCGCCCTTCTTCTCCTCTAGCATGGCGCGGTGTATGTGCTCGTAGGGAATATGACCAGGGCACCCGTTCCCTTCGACGGCGAGACATCTCAGCGTGCCGTGATCTGTGTCGATGCTGCTGTGCCATCCCTGGCCAAATACAGCTTCCGTAATAGAGTGTTGAACACAGCGGAAACAGAGCATATGCCCGTCCGTGTTGCAGGTTGTAAATTCCTCAAAGGTGGACTCGGTGAAACAGCATGCGCACTCGTGCATGGCGCCGGCTTCCTCGGCTTCTTCATTATTCATCAAGGAGGCCAGACCTCGATCCTTGTCCTCTTGCGTCTGCCGTGCCCGGTCTTTCAGCGGTCGGACCAAATCACGGTACAGCTCAGAGTCGAGCTCTGCGTTCCCCGTGGCCTTTAGAGACGGCACGATGGCGCCTTGGCCAGTTGACTTCCATATTATCAGCGGATGATTTTCGGCTTCGCCCGTAGCGACCGGTTTCCGGCGGAGAAAGAGGGACGATATGGTGAAACGCCACGACTTTGACGACAACGAGACGAGAGTGTTGCGGGCTTCGAGATAGGAGTAGTTGGACTCGGCGAGGACGGCGTTGATGGTGGAGCGCGAGAGGCCCTTGAATTCGTGCCAAGCCAGCGCTTGCACGGCGTGTTTGTACTCGGGACTTCGGAAAGCTTCGACGCGGGGGATCAAAGCCTCGTTCTGCTCTCCTGCTTCTTCGTTCGCAACCGGGGTCCTGGCAGGTTGGTTATCGACAGCCCTCCAGCGACCCTTGACCCAGGCGACGCGATTCTTCAACAAGGCGTCAATCACAACAGCCAGCCTCGATTCCTCGTCAAAATTGATCAACATTTCGCGGAAGACCTGAATTTGAATATCAGGGAAGATGGCCGCAAGAGCCTCGAGGCTGTTGTTAAGCTCGCGAAGGTCGGGACAGTCGGGAGACAGCGCAGGGAGCTGCTCCTCGTCGTAGATGTATCCATAGTGGGAGGCGGAGGTAGAGGTAGAGCTAGCGTCTGTCGTCTGGGAGGAGGCGTTCTCAGAAGCCTTTTGGAGAGAGCTGGACGACGAGGTCTTGGAGCGGCTGGAGACGAGTTTGTCGGTAGAGGATCCGAGAAAAGTTGTGAGGCCCATCTTGTCAGTTCATGATTGGTGTAGGCCTCGCATGGCGTGGAACCGGCGGTGACGGTCTACGGGCACAGCGGGAGGCAAGGCAGCTACCGCGACATATAAGTACAGTCGAGCTTTGTGACGACGTTCGCAGAAAGAATGGGTCGCAGTGTTTGCTGACGAGTGGGCGCGAGGGTGTGCGGTGTGAAGTTGTCAAGGATGTCGCCAGGTCCCTGGTCGTTGGGAAATGGCGGACAGGGAAGCACAGATCGGGGACTGTTATCGTTGTTGAAATGAATGTGACTAGGTTCCTTAGTGCCGAGTGATGCTCATGTAAGGACGATGCCGATGTATCTTTTGGGCGTGCTCAGGCGGCCTGGTACCTCTAGTGGCTGTGTCTGGAAAGACCATGCGGGGGAGTTTAGGGGAATGACCACCAGCTGGCGAGGCGTTGGTTAGCGATGCCCATAGTGGAAGCTCCCGACCTTTACTAAGGCGGTGCCAAGGCCAATCATCTCTACGCGTTAGCTGCAGCGCTCCATCTTCATGCAAACACTAACAGTCTCTGATCACAACCAGCTCGAGCAGGGAAGGACGTCCCAACAGTTGCAAGTGCCTCGGCCACTGGGTGTACCGGGCTGCCGTCACACGGTAGCTCACGCTGATGGGAAACGAATATGACCTTCATTCGGGTATCCTTGTATGGCCACGGAGTACTGAAGACTCATCACCACTCATTCAATCTGAACCTTGCCTAAATGCAAACAAGTGAAGGGGGAAATACCTCGAGTGAGGCGCATACAAGCGGTGATGCCATGTATCTTGGTACTCCCCTCGATAAAGTCGTTTTACATTACAATGATTCTGTTCGAGAATTGGCAAACGCTAGCTCTTAATCCTGTATGCAGCATCATCTGCGGTATGCTATTGTGACATTAGTATGTCTTGACTCAAGTCAATCTACCGAGTCCGGCAAAGTAGTAAGATCGTTTCACAGGGGGGATAGTTTGGATGTGATGTTCTTCCACTTGCTCTACAGCCTAGATCTCTCGCAAGAAAAACGTGGTCTAGCGTAGTCGAACCCCTCATGCTTCCAAAACAAAACGCTGGTTGATCTACAGGTCTACCTCCCTGGCCGCCACGTCGGCCGCTCGAGTCCGTTTGATATACGCCCTGCACTCTATACATCCCACCTCCACTCCAATCACCGCTTAATCGATAACCGAGGGCCTCCCCTTCAAGACTTGCGGTGGAGAAGGCCGGCGGCACCCTGTGTGAAGAGTCAGACATAATTCAATGTACACGATTCAAAAGTCAAACTCGCCTGGTGTTGAGGGAAGATGAGCGTGTCTGCGACGACAACGTTCTCTCTCCTAGTAGTCGTAAAGACGACAACCTCTGCGATATCTTCAGGGGTGAGAGGCTCACACCCGCTGTGGCATAGTTAGCATCGTGCTAATACTTGAAGCTTCTCGCAAGGTCTGAGACAGAAGCATCCAAAAGAGTAAAGCATTGACTTACGCGTAAACAGCGTCGGCCTTGGACTTGTCACCGTAAAAGCGGACGACGGAGAATTCCTATAGCATGTTAGATCTCGTGACTAACACTAGGCTCCCAAGAGATGGCTTACAGTCTCGACCTGGCCGGGGTCAATACCAATGACGCGGATGCGAGTCGCAATTAGCTCCTTTCTCAAGCTATCGGTGAAACTGCGCACGGCGGCCTTGGTCGCGCAGTAGATTGAGCCACCGGGGTACGGCTCACGACCTGCCATGGCGACGATCAGTCAAACGTGGTCTTTCGCAAACATAAGACTGAGAGGCGCCAAACTCACCAGCAATGGAGCCAATGTTGATAATGTCTCCTGAGCCGCCATCGGGGCGCGCCTTGAAGATGGGGAGAATGGCCTGCGTCACATTGATGAGGCCGGTGACGTTGGTAGCGAACATGACGTTGATATCCTCCTCAGCGATCTCGGGAGCCTTGGCAACTCCCTTGACGAGGCCGCTTTGGAGCCAGTGTCAGTTAAAGCCAGACTGAGAATGAGCAGCAAACGTACGCATTGTTCACGAGGATGTGAATATCCTTGAACTCCTCGGGCAGATTAGGCACCAGCTGGCGGACCTCCTCGGGGTTGCTGACGTCCAGCTTGACGGGGTGGATCTTGACGCCGCTGCCGACCTCCTTTTGGATTTCGGCGGCGACCTCCTTGAGGGTGTCGATGCGGCGGGCTGTGAGAATGAGCTTGAGGTTTTTGGGCGCCGTACGGGCATATTCAAAGGCCGTGCTCTTGCCGATACCGCTCGAGGCACCGGTGATGAGCACCGTCTTGCCTTCGAGGCGCTTTGCTGCGGCGGACATTATGGTTCTGTGATGGTTCTGGTGGAGGACTTTGCGCAGTGAAGAATGCAGCTGAGGCTGTTGGCGTTGAGATGACAAGAGTGAAGAGCAGACAGAGCGAGCTATACGGGTATAGGGGCGCATGTGTGAAGTGAGAGGAACCGGGAAAGAAGAGGGTCGGTTCGGGGATGAATTAGTTGCTTATATACCTGACTCTATCTGGGATTCTGCAGAAGTCAGGAGAAGGTTGCTTTTGCTCGTACAGTTGCTATTATCCAATGAAAGGGAAGGATTAGTAGGGGAAGCTGTTCCGGTACAGAAAAAAGGTGTCGACACGTTTCCGACTACAGAGGCAAAGGAGGGACGGATAAGACGAGGGGAGAGCACAAGTGGACGGCACGGCGCACGGAATGGATGGGCCCCACACTGCGGGGTTTCAACCGACCGATAACCGGCGGGGACAGGCGATTGCATCATTTTTGCTTGAAGCTTCTTCACTCGACACAACTTGTAGTGACCTCATCACTTATTCAAGTATAAGTAGCAGGGCTAGTCTTTTGCTATGGGGGAATTGACAAGAGGGTCTAATGGGGCTCATTCATAGCCTTCTTGGCCATGACAGGCTGTCGCGCCGATGAGGTGATTGACAAGTCCGACTTGTTTGTACTTGGCGGCCTTTTCTATCCCCGCACCATGCGGCACCAACGCCGATGAGCTCTACCCGGCTGAGACTCCGACAGGCAGCCCAGGGTTACATAGGCCAGGGTTGCGGCTTGCTACGCCCTTGGTTCAGTCAACGGTCACCGTTGTTTTCCGGTTGTTGGCTGCGGAGTGGTTCCAAGATATTTCGACATTGATAATTAATACTGACATGAGGTATTGCTCATAAACCCATTCTCATCATATATAACCGTTGATGCCCAAATATTGACAGTGAGAACCCCATAACGCCGGCCAGGTGCTATGCTTCAGAAATCATTCAACCAAACCCAACAATAAAGATACAGCGCTCGCTATACACAGGCTCAGTCCGTTGTTGTTGAAGAAACCAACGTCGTGGCTGCCGATGCCCTCCGTCTCCTCTCCACCTCGGTTCTGATGTGCATTTGCCGCTGCTCCTCGATAGTAACACGATTTCGACGATAGACGCCAAAACTGAGTAGGATCGCTATGCCAGATAGAATAGCTCCCACCTGCATGTCTTTGCAGAAGGAGTCGGTATAGACTTGACGCACGGCTGCGGCTTGCGCCTCCGTCAAGTTCGCCCCTGCCCCGTGGAGCGACGACAGCTGTCCCGGGGTGAGCACGCCAGTCAACTCGTCTCGCATGAAGTTGCCCAAGATGGCCGTTGACGCGGCGATTCCCAGACTGCCACCGAGAATCCGCACCTGTGCGATGATTCCTTGTGCGGGGGCTTTGCTCCGTTAGCTGTCTGTCTACATCTAGCAGAGTCAGATTACTCACCATGATCTGGAATCTCGGACTCCGTGGCTCCTAGGACGGTTGATGAAGTGGCTGACAAACCAAAGCCAAAGCCGATAAACGTAAGGAAACCAAGTGCTTTGGGTTCCAGTTCCACAGACGACGACAGTGTCGTCATTAAGCCGCAGCCGATACACACGAAGCAGCTTGCCGTCGTCATTGTCTCAAAAAGTCGGTTCTTTTTCTTGTTGATGATTCCGCCGAGAGTGGTTCCTAGCGCGACAGAGCCTAGCATGGGGAGAAGTAGGATACCCGCAAGCAACGAACTCTTTCCGTTGACGATCTGCAAGTGGACAGGGAAGGCGTAGATGACCAGGAGGTACGGAAACCCGAGAAACATCGTGTTGAGGATTGTGGCGACGTAGACACGGTTGCGCAGAAGTCGCATCGGAATAGCGGCCATGATGCGGCTGCTCCAGAACTTGGCGACGAGAGCCTCCCATCCCAACAATAAAATGAAGCATACGCCACCGACGGTAACGGGGGCGATGAAGACGGCTTGACGCCACTTATTGCCGTCCGAGCCGACATTTTGAAAGGAGAAGACAACGAGAACTGATGCTGCAACGAGAAGAAAGGAGCCCACGATATCCAGCTCCTTCCAGCGTCTACGTTGCAGCGTTGGGAGGTGTTTAGCGTCGGGCCATGTCAGGTAGAAGATGAGCATTGAGACGAAGCCAACGGGACCACTATTTTGATGTTAGAACACGGACGTTCTTCTCCAAGGACTGGGTTCACTCACTTGATCCAAAAGATCCACCGCCAAGAGGCGTAATGGGTAAGGATACCTCCCAGAACTGGGCCAAGGACACCGGCGCTCGCAATGACCATGCCGACGAGGCTGGACATGTACTGAAGCAAGTGCTTGGGGGCAACCTCGGGAAAGATAATCATGGTGATGGAATAAAGGCCTGGCGGAAACTTAGCAAACGACTTGACGATAACTAGCATTCTCTACTCACCAGAACCACCCAAGCCTTGCAGAGCACGGCATGCAACCAGCTGCTCCAAGTTCTGGGCAAACCCGCAGCCCAGAGAAAAGGCGAAGAAGATGATGAAGCTTGCCAAAAAGGCATTGCGGCGGCCAACAATATCGGATGCTCGAGCCACCAAGACCGCACAACTTAGGTATGTGAGCGTGTATGCGAGTGCAACCCAGTTGATCAAGTCGACCGAGTCAAACTCTGTGCCAATGGTGTACAGACTTGTTGCCACGATTGAAGCATCCAACATGGAAAGGAACAGTCCAAGACAGAGCCTTTCGGGCGGGTTAGCATAAAGATCTACAGCAGCCCTCAACACATCGTGGGGATAATTACCCAATACTGAGCAGCCAGAATCTCCATGGCGGCAAGGTGGCATCTCTGTAATGATGATTCTCTACTAGGCCCTCGGCCTTGGTGGACTCGATGTCCTCCTTGATGTTACCCATGACGATTGCTTCCTTCAACGATGCAGAGTTATGCCAGCAAGTAGCAGTCGCTATGAGAGTGTCGTCGATGTAATGATGTGGTCGTGAATGTCAAATTGAGGTTGTCGGTGGATCCAGGCCTTGTACAACGATTAAGTAGTTGTTGATGTGACTGATGGTTCTGAAGGGATGTTCACTCGGCTTAATCCTGTCCGTCGGTAGGGCGAAAGTCTGACTCGAAGGTCGTCGGTGTCGGAGCAACACTATGTCGACAACCACTCACGATGTACAGATACGGGGTTGAGAAGCAGAGCCGGGGCAACTCATAGTGAAGGATGTCACGAGAGGCCCGGGAAGCGAATCTGACAGGAGGATCAAAAGACGCTTGGGAAGAGAATGCGAGGTCCAAGTAAGCAGAACGGGGCGAAACCCACGAAGGGAACGCGATTAAAAGGTCGACAGGTGCCATGGCCGAACATAAGAGAGAACTGGAGAGGTTGAATCGGCGTTCGGGGCGAGACGAATTAGGGAAAAAACGAACGTTCGGCGTTCAGCAACGCATTCGCATTCGCTAGCTCAGAAACGACCTCCTGAGCTCACGGTCCCAGTTGTTTGTCTTTGGCCCGCCGCTGCTGCCGGCCGTAAGCTGATCCCGTAGGCGAATGCGGCGTGGACCCGGCGCGCCACACCAAAAAAAACCACCAGAGAGTCAAACAAGTCGGTAGTGAGACAGACCAATACCAGTGAGGCGAGCGAAGAAGGGAGGGCACGATAGTGCAATAGTCTAGGCCGCCGCATTTCTTTCGGTCGGAGTCCCCTAAGGGTTTTGTATAGCCTTTCGGTGGCAGCAGGTCGTCCGATGAGGAATGCCAGAACCCGCCTCCCCGACGCACCACGGCCGTTAAAGAATCAGCTGCAACGTGGTCTAGATCCATCATCCAATCCAGGCCCGATCTGATCAATGGTATCTCATCGGCGAAGGCCCTAACTTTCAGCTCCGTGAATCGCTGGATCCAGGATAGATGACCTCAATCTTCCAAGTCCGAGGATGGCCAGCATCGTAGTTTGCTCAGCAACGTTTGCCAACGCCGAAGGGTGTTCGTGACTACCGACCGAACAATTATGCTCTACTGGATCCAGCTGCCGAGTGCGCAGCCAGGCCGCAGACTCAGTGCTTAAACCCAGCGACGGGAATGAAGAAGAGAGGCGAATCCGTCGCTGAGGAATGTGGGTTCGACACCGCCTATTCGCAATGCCCACTCGGACGGCGCTCGTAAGTAGGGAGTAAACCATGGTCATGCACTCAAAGTCCTGGCTTCGGTGATCGTTGACTCTCCGTAGTGGATGGCTGCGCCACGCACCGAATACAATGTGCTGTTAGGATGTGTAAATCCGGGCTATCTCCCACTCTACCTAGTATCATTTGGGAACTGTAAAGATAGCAGCAGTAACCCCTAAGCAAACAACAGGGTAAGGAGATTAAAGAGCAGACCAGACGAGGGAGACGCAAACTTCATTTCGTGGCATGTTTGCTCAGAGTGCACAAAGATATGTACACACGCGCACACGGCAGAGACAGGTGCTGAGTTGAGAGAATTGAGATGGCAAAGAATACTGGCTGGGTTGACTGGGATCTCCGTTGCTTCTTTCTCGGCTTGTTGGTTTTTCATGTTTGGCTTTGAGTGCACATACGACTGACCGTTCCCGGCACTGCTGGTGTCTGACGATCGTAGATGGAGAGGGCGAAGGCAGGGGGTTTTGTTCATACCTGACAAGCAAAGTTCCAGTCAATTTCACAATGTCTAAGGGAAAAAGAAAGCGGAAATGGATCGCAATTATGGGGCGTTGTCCGGAAGGTAAGACCCCACGGCCGTACGGATACCAATGCGGCCCTTTCCCGGGCCGGACGGAGGCCCGCCCTCCCACGTGCCTCCTTAGGTAACCAGCAGCGCACTAATAAGTCATCGCCTGCTTACCTCATCCATGGTCTCACACCTCACCGTGCGAAGAACCCCAGCACTAAGCTTTGGTGCCACTTCGTCGTTGACGACACTCAGCCCAGGCACCTTCAAACGGCCAAAAAGGCGCTGACAACGACCGTCCCACATCCAACCCACCACAGTGCACACGTCCTGTCGCTATCGTCAGTCAAGGCCGACTTGCTATCGCATTGACTTATCGAACCTCACTATATCGAGACTTGGACTGTCCCTGGATCTCATCGAATCCTAGTATTCAATACTTGACACAT